AATTATTCCAGCTATTCACGATACTGTAGTAATCTCCCTCCCTAAATCCATTATTTCGCTTGATATTGTTTAATAAAACTCATTATCTTCGTCTTTATGAAACTCTCTTTCGTGGTCGTCACAGATCGACTAACATCACGTCTCACTTTCTCCGTGTTATTTCAATTCATATACATCAAATCTAAAACTTCTTTACGATGGTGAAGAGTCAATTGAATAAAAATGTTCTTGGATATTATCCATCGTCTAGTAAATATAAAACGTAAAAAACGACGTTTCGGAGATGGGACTCTATCTCCGTCTTCAGGTTCCTACACAGTTGGGCCCACTAGATAGAGCTAATCCCTATCTCCGGACAAAGTAAAAAAGTGAAAGTCTCGGAATAAAAAGGCATAACCACACCATCCATCCGTGGTCAATTCATATAGCTCGGCCACTTTCCTTTTGTTTAACGGTTCTGAACATTTTTCGTCAAACCATGGTTTTCTCTGCTTTAAATTCTCGATGCATCAAAGTTTCCTCAAACCTGCAACAGATTCTGACCTGAAAGTTTCCCTGACTCCTGCATCATTTCGCACGCGTGCCTCTCGTCTTCTGTCGATCAAACCGACATTTTATTTTATTTCTCAATGAACATTTTTAGCCGAGCGAAATGCACGTGACATGTAATTGTATGCTAATGGGGTATGGCATTGCGAACACGCCCACATCGGAAGCAAATTCTCGAAGACATTGAAGGTTGTCGATAAAATATGTCGACGAGACGGGCTTCAGACTCGGGCGAAGAAGCTGGATTAAAACGTGTACGTATTCCTGTTTCTACGAAACTGTACACACGCATTTTTATACACGCACGGCGTTTGAATTCTTTAAGATATCATGTTATTTCATTCACATTTCGTACGACAAAACACAATCTTGCTTCCAGAAATGTCCTTCAAATTACAGTACGAACTGCATTAAACCAGTTTGCAATAATATCTTGTAATATCCAACAGGATTATCTCCCTACGATCACAATTGTGTTTCAGATTGTAAAATAATGTATAAATATTTTTTTATGGTTTTTAAATAAAATTACATTAAAGAATTATTACGTTTACTTGGCTTTGTTTTGGAACGACAGACGTTTCTTAAAAAAAAATATTACTTAAGTCAACATTAAAAGCACTTAACAGGTAGTTGTGTTTAATTATCTTAAGTATAAATATATTTAATTAGTTTGTTATAGCATTTATACATTTAGATAGCAAACGTATGAAAGTGTTGAATTAACTCGTAAATATTGTGTCCTGGTTAAGGACGTCGAAATGCCGTCGACGCTGGACTCAGCCCAAGGGCATTTGTGTTTCAGTGTCAACAAAGGCAAGTTTTTGTCCAAATGATACCCAGTTTTTTCTAGCAATTTTCACAATATCTATCAAAATGCTCAAAATTTGAGGACATGCGTTATAATTTGATGATAACGTGGAATGTGACGGTCAACACACGTTACTAACTAGGATCTGGGGTCCTCATGAAGGGTCGTAGCGCCGTGGTATACGTTTACCGACGTTTCAGAGGTCCTCGCTGCCTCCATCGCCATTTATCGCCCTGATGATGGATAGTACAAGGCGTAACAACCAAGAAGACGGCCATCTTCAAGTAATGATTTGTTCGGTTTGTTAGTTTTTTAATGTTCTGTTATTCAGTTTTGTTCGCAAAGATTTAATCCAGTTAGATACAAAATGCTTTAACCGTACGAATGAATGCGATTATGAAACTTTAATTAATCACTTATTTTTTTAAAAACAAAGAACAAATCGCTCCTTTTGGAGCTCCTTTCGTCTATAAATTTCTGTTGATATTTAATACTTCGTTTTTCAGTGTTTTTCTGTTAAATAGTTATGATGTTTTAGTTCTTTACGTCAAATTTTTGTAATAATAGATAGAAAAGTGGGACTCGAAATGTAGAAATCATGAGAATAAATTTTTAGGGTTTACATTTCAAAACATTCCAGATTAAAATCAATTCTGTTTTCGTTCTGCAGAGCAGGAAGGGAATTGTCACCAGACAACAATGCAAAAGTCAGACGCTGTCAGTTGTCGTGACCTTCTGGTTAAAGTGCGATGTGTTGCTGGCTGCTTTAGACAGAACAACTGTATCAGTTGCTCGCCGATGCTGTCAATAGCCCGTTCGATAGGCTTCCTACATGTCGTAAGGCGAGTTGCTCACCTTGCCGAGCGATGCTGACTGCTGATTGGCTGCGTCCCGGATCTGCGCCGCGCTCCTATAGGACTTGGAACACAAAGAGCCTGGGAATCGTGGCTCCGGCGAGGCCAGGACGGCTACGTCGTGGTTTTTGGAAACGAACTATAGGTGAAGTTGTTGTTGCTGTCTCGTAAATAAATTTCTGTGCTTCCTGAGAATAAGTCAGAGTGTGAAATCCGAAGCATTTACGTACAAGACGCTGCATTTTAGCCGTGTGTTTGGTACTGACGGCGAGAGACTTGACATGAACAAATGACACTCAGTAAAACGAAACGAAGAGTTTTACTTTAAAAAAAGGATATTCTAGTAATTCTGAATGTCTGGGATTTGATCTGAGTGTGGCAGATTTCGGTGTCACAAGACATTCCAGTTGAAAGAAAATTAAATATTTATATAAGAACAAAATTTAAGTGTAACAAATTAATCAGAGTACTAGTTCAGAAGTTTAATTTTATATATATTTTTTTTAACTCCCCGGAGCTTCTCTGATCAACACCCAACAATATTCAGCCAAAATTATTTAAACTGCACATTCACTATTAATGTTTTTCCATTATATTGTACAGTAAAATTCAAGCTAGACACTTATTTCTTATTATAATTGAACTCCTTCAACTCCTATCTCCCATAGATCCCGCCTAATATTGTCCTCCCAGCTACGTCTAGGTCTCCCCAGCGGTCTCTTTCCTTCAGGTGCACACCTCTTGTCCCCTCCATGCGCGCTACATGCCCAGCCCATCTCATTCTTCTCGACTTAATCACCCTGACAAAAGTTGGGGAGGAGTACAATTTTTAAGCTAATCATTATGCAGTTTTCTCCACGCCCCATCGTCTTCTCTCCTAGGCCCAAATATCCTCCTCAACACCCGATTCTCAAACACCTGCGATCTGTGTTCCTCCCTCTGAGCGAGAGACCATGTTTCGCACCCATACAAAACAACAGGCAAGATTATTGTTTTGTGTATTCGAATTTTTAGATTCTTAGAAATCAGACGGGAAGACAAAATATTTTGAACTGAGAACCGGAATTTAGACTCCTCCTAACTTCCTCGTGAGTGTCATTTTGATTTGTTCCCAGACATTTGAACTTTGTGACACTTTTACTCGAAGGCCCGTGATCTGCTTCGTTGAACTTTTCCCGTCTCTGTGTTCCTTGGTTTAGGTTCTGACGACGGTGAAAATGTCATTTGTGGACTTCTGGACTGTGACGCCTGAAGATGGAGGTGGAACGTTCCTCGTAAGCGCGCCTGCAAGCCAACACGTTGTCAATGACTGCTTTCCAACGGATTCGGGATCTGAATATGACGAGGAAGCCGTGTGTGTGTTCATGTGCGTGCGTGCGTGCGATCTCGCAGTGTCTACACGTTCACCTTGAGCGTTGCTGCCCGCTTGCACCTTAGTCACTGTGGCCGATCTAAGTCGTTTTAATTTGGATTTGTCCTTGAAGTTTCCTACGTAAACTGGTACAGGTGGGTGTGGGGGGGGGGGCACCGGAGACACGGAGCCTTCCTGTTGCGAGTAACGCCACTGGTAAGAAACTCCGACATTCGGTCGCGTCCAACCGCACTGAATCGAGAACAGATTCATTACGGAGCTTCAAGACGAAAACAGATGACGAGTGTCAATTTGTGTTCGCGGATACGGCTGTATTTATCCACCGAGTCTAGTAGGACGGAGCAGATTTTTTCTATATTTAACTCAAAAATTCCTTATTTTAAAGTCATTATCGAAGTAAATAAATAAATAAATATTTAGGTGTTTCTCTGCCCTGTAAGTTCCCTATTCTGAGGCCACACCCAGGATGTTCCCTGCTGTTAGCTAAAGGCCTCTGATATTTGTTCATTCTACATGAATAACCTACTCAGTTCTGGTTGCGTCGGCCTGCTCACGGACTGTGAAATCACGACGCATGGCCAGACGCCATGTTGCGTCTGGCGCCTGGTAACAGAGACAAATGAACGTCTACTGGAATTACGAAGTGAAGCTAAGGGGTTGAATTTGGAAAAAGAAAACTGTTTTAAACAGATGTAAGCGACTGATAAAACATCTGAATCACTCGAGCGCTGAATATTCTGTAATACGTTTTAGACACTGGAAACACAGAACGAAGTTTTGCTTTTCGTACTTTGTGTAGAAAAGTCACCGGTCCTGAACATTTCAAAACCTTCCCGTTGTTAAGATTTCATTTTAATTTCTCGTGAGATTTATCACAAAGACGAAAGCTTTTCGCTGGTTCCATCGTAAAACCACGATTTCGTTGAAGTTCAACAAATGTTATATAAAATTCTAATAAATAATGTTTATTGTCGTTAATTAAAACGAGAAGCTGAGAATAGGAAAAACTGGAGAGCTCTTTTTGGGCAGAGCAATGGACCTGTCGTAAGACAGAACACTGAATAATAATAATGGCCTGTACTGTAATAAGAAGCTTGCGTAATTTTTGCAATTTTCGACATTCCAGCTGAAGTGACAGTTCTGGGCGTAGACCAGCACGAAAATTTGCCCTCGTGATACGAGCGTGTATTATCGAGGTCTTGTCAATGAATTTTAAGCGGAGGTTTGACGCTTGTTTCGTCTCGTTGGTGTTGAAGTGGCAAGAGTTGCCATTTAAGTCGGAAGGGTCAGGTCTGGAAAAGGGGCGAGGTCCAAAGCTCACAAGACGTGTGCCACTTTTGCAGTGATCTGCGCGAAGTCCATTCGCTGCAAACGAAGTGTTACGAGGGTCTTCGCCTCGTCTAATAAGTCACAGTGTCGTCACGAAACGTGTGTAATATTGCATACATAACTTATGTTACAGTAATTTACAAACTCAAGATGACTAATGCATGTTTCAGCTGATCTAAGTATAACTTAATGTCGAGCTTATTTATCTAAGATCTTTGCTACACCACATAAATTGGGACAGAAGGATCCTTGCTGTCTGCTACGGGGATAAGAGAGTGACATTTAAACATCGAATACGGCAAGATGGCGAAATGCGTTTGAATAACTGGATGGAGTCCTACTTATGGTGCACTATGGTAACCTTAGACGATATACAGTAGCAAAACTGTGCATTTCCGATAACTTTAAATACGTTGTTGTCCATTTTCCTCAGTCACTTCCATTGGTAACCGTGAAGATTGTCTGACGCGAAGAGGGGTGGCCACTGTCTCAGTTTTGTGAGGGGACGCGAACATTCACACACTGACGTGGCGCTTCATGTGGAGGGCCAGGTGGTCGGAGCGCGAGAACGCCCTCTCGCAGAGGCGGCACTGGAACGGGCGGTCGCCGGTGTGCTTGCGGTAGTGGCGAGTCAGCTCGTCCGAGCGCGCGAACTTCCAACCGCAGCCCTTCCAGCTGCACTGGTACGGCTTCTCGCCCGTGTGCGTGCGGAGGTGAGCCTTGAGGTGCGACGACTTGGTGTACGTCTTGCCGCACGCGGGGTGAACGCACGTGTGCGTCGTCAGCTTCTTGCGCCCGCAGCTCCGGCGACCCCTCTTCGGCTTCAGCTGACCTTCGCCCGCGCCGTCCACCAAGAACACCGGTTGCTGTTGGGCCGAAATCAGGTTCGGCGATGAAGGGGGGGTCATTATTTTTATCAGCTGGGGAGTGGGGGGCATGACGTTCTGCGGGGGCAGGCCCCTCGGGTACTCCTGGTTTTCTGGACTTGCAGGGGGCGACATTTGACCGTGGCTGTAAGCCACTTGGTGGTGCGTCGGGACGATTGTCATGAGTCCGTTGTAGGTCGTCGGTGGCTGAGGAAGGTCGCCGCCTATCCTGGGGATGTCAGGGTGGTCCCTACTGCTGCAGCTGCTCGCGCTGATGTCAGGGTGAGGCGGTGGCGGTGTGTAGTAGCTGTGCTGTTCCGCCGCGTGGTTGATCAGCATGTCCAAGTCGACGAATTCTTCGGCCTGGTAACTCGAGTGGTCCGTTTCCCCGAATTCTGGCTGCTGCTGCTGCTGCTGTTCGACGCGGGTAACTACGACGGTTCCTGAGCCGCAGAGACTCACTGGAGACGCCTGGGGCGGGGGCGGCTGCCCCAGAAGTATGCTCTCGATGTCTTGCCACATCTGAAACAGCGAGAACAGAGATTGCAGCTCACGACCTGACGCAATACTGAGGGAGGAAGTGGCAGGGTAATCGGTGTGCCCTACGAAACGTTTCAGAACCTAATCAGTACAGCTGTCGAATGTAATTTGTGCAGTGTCGTCTTCTATCGTCCCGAACAAAGTACAGTTCTGTCAATCATCACGCAACATGTCGGATGTTCCATCCGAGGTTTTGCCTCAGTCCCTTCAAGAACTCCGAGTTGATTAAGTAACAAACGCGTCCAGACGCTGTTTAAGAAGCGTCGTTGAAGAATGTACTCCAGTGACTGAGCTACATCGATAGTTGATTCTGTGGTGTTTACGACATGAAAAGGTCGGTCTCTGGGACGGAGGAGTGCAATGAGGAAGTGGTGATGGCTTCGCCTGCTTTGCTAAACCATTCCAAGTTCTCTTGGGCGGCGGGGGTTTGAGTCCCGGTGGGCACCGAGCACTCTCTTTTGAAAGCGATCTGAGCCCGAGTCCACTGGCATGACGACAGAACCAAACGTGTTGAAAATCCGATCGGCCTCTCTCGACAGGTTTTGTGCGTACAGACTTACGGACGGAGAAAAGCGTGCTTAAGAGGGCTCGCCGCTCACAACCAGAGGAAAGAGACAGAGAAAGCAGAACTTGATCTCGGTGTGGTCACACGCGAACTTTGACATTTGCGTCGGTGGAAGGTCGTCTCGACAGAAATCGGTTTCCGAACAAACAAGACCGTCGTTTGTTTTTCAATCGATGAATTTCATAAGATTATTTTAAATGCGTAACGAGAAATTAATTAGTTCATTTGGTAATTAACTGAATGTTTGTAAGACTTGAGGTTCTCACAGCGCAATAACCCAGAAGACAGAAATCTTCAACTGAATGTTTCTTCGCGCGTCTTCGGTTTTCTCGATGTAGTTTATGATCTTAAATTAAACTGAAAGAGGAGATCCAGCGACAAAATAATTTCAGCCTGCCACAGAGAGAGATGAGAGGGGGGGGGGGTCCTTTTAAAAAAATTGTTTCCTTTTAAAGGGCTGACATCGAGGCTGCGTCCTGTATGCTCAATTCCTTAACTCCGGATTGACAAGGCGATAACAAATCATTTCCATTGATTATGATAAATAAAATAATTACTACAATATTAATACTAATAATATTAAACTGCTGCCGCATTCTAGGGACCAGTGTGCATATCGTAGTCTAAACGAAACAAAATGTATTACAGATCGATTATTGTTTCATAAATACTTCTGTTGTTATTACTTAATTATGTAACTGCTTTGAGGAGACGCCAGTGGTCGCTCAGAAGTTCAGAATGTTTTTTTAATCCCCCTCTCGATCGTATTTTAAGCCAGTTGAACGTAGCCCGCGACCCGCACACGCCACTTATTTGAAAACCTTTTTAATATTATACTCCAGTCTTCGTCTAGGTTTCCATACCGCTCTTATCGTTCATGCTTTACGACTAAAATACTGTGCGCATTTGTGTCCCTTCCCATCAATCCTCTTTGATTTTTGATGAACATAACAACATCTCGCAGACAGAATAAATGATTAAGCTTCTTAGATGTGTCCGTCCTCCGTTAACTTTCTCTCTTAGGTAAAATTATTATTATTATTCCATCTATTCGCCATTTTATGAGGTATTTACTTCTGTGTGCCTGAGACAAACCTTGCCCCTGGGGTACATAGGGCAGCAGCTATTTCCGGAATACATTTTGTTTTTAATACATGTTACATGTATTATATAGTTTTATTGTGAGGGATGACTACATATTTTACATCAGCGTCTTTCGAAAGATGTATAAAGACCCCAAAATGGCGGTCTTCTGCAGTTCCCTGATGTCGTGTTCGCCCGGAATATTTTCTGAGCGACCTGGAGTCAGTTCCAGTCGCTCCTATAATTATTGGGATTACTTTTGCTTTCATTTTCCACATTCGCTGTATTTCAACGAGAAGGTCCTTGTATTTCAAGATCTTCTCTGTTTCCTTCTTAATCACATTCCTGTCAGCTGGTACTCCTATATCGGATTATAATTTCTGGTTTGTTATTTCGAATGGGTCTATCTGTTTTGACTTGTTGGTTCTATAAAATAGTTATTTGTCTATCTTCACTTGTCTCCACTGTCTTCGGGATGTGTTCATACCAATGTTTCGTCGCTAACTTTATTATTTAAAAAAGTACATCAGTCCCACTAAACGCCATGTAGGCGCTTGGAGGGGGAGATTTATTGTGTTCGGCTCGTGACCTGTGACGTCAGAAGACGTCATAATACTTCTAAAAATACAAGCAAACACGAACCACGTGGTTTTTCCGATAAGTGATTGGTACTCACTCGACTGCGTTGGTGGTGCTTAGGTTTAGGTAATGTAGAAGCCGCAAGCTAGCTGGTCGGTCCGTCTGAACGGCCTTCTGACTGCAAAGGTCACGCGGGGAATGTGCAATGGCACAATCCACTCGTGTCCCACCGGCCTTTGTTCGATTCTTTTTGATCCCGTCCGGAACAATGAACACGATCACCTCTGATATCGCCGAGACACTTTTCTAGCAGCGCATTCTTGCGGGCTAAGAGAAGAAACACTCGCAAAGAGAAATTGTGGAAGGCGCAAGACCTCGGAGTCAGAGCGACTAGTGACGCTTACGAAACTGTGACAACGTTTAAGATTGCTTCCGTCTGGGCTGTAGAAGTTTGCTCAGCGCCCTGATGAAGGCAGCAAGGACCTCACAGACGTCGTTAAACTTCCACCAGAAGACAGAAATCTTCATGCTCACCGCCGTGAAAACCTAAAATCCTAAATTTTGACAACGTCCAGCTGTTTGGAACCTACATTTGGAGGTATTGAAATTCCGAAAACACTTGACGGCCTCTAGTCCACCGAACCTGAAACGTAAAGTTAAAACATGCAAAAGTGTAATTATCACGTCGTTATGTGTCGGTCCCTCGCCTCAGAAGGTCGCGCACGGACTCAAGCTGTGTGAAGACTGGGGCTGCAAACAATTCCGTAATGAGAAAATTAATAATAATTTGCACTCCTCTTCAAATTACGAATAAGATTAGCGCATAAGATGGGCAGGGCACGTAGCTCGAGACGAGTGGTGTTAAGAGAAGATATCTGATAGGAGACGTACGTTAAGGAAAACGTCGTTGACCGCGGTTATCTGTTTCAGTGTAATATCCAGTAGATGTCTCTTCTGAACTCCATCGTGAAACTTCGGGCTTCCTAAAAGACGGGAAATATCTTCACCAGTTGAACGATCCTTAACATCTCGTAGTTTCGACAGAACGCTGTCTAATTTCGGATTAACTAATTTACAGCGACATTTCAATAGAACAATGAAATGTGTGGATAGAATGTGTTATGTGTGACTTGTTGCTTGTGGTCCGTCGTTAATCTGGCGCCCTCGTTTGGAAGCCACACGCGCGTAGTGGATTCGCAAACACTTGATGGTGTTTTGATAAAACATGGGAGCATGCTATAACGCAGAATTCTGTACCCTTGGCATTAATTAATTACCCTCCAAAGCCCATTGCTTTATATATAATTATTATTTTTCAGTAATTTGTATAAACAGGACGATTTATAATTACACGGAATTAATACAAGGCCAAATTAAAACTCATTAGCTAAAAATTGCAACATTGCTCAGAGACAATTTGTTTTTGGACTGGCAATACGCGATCTTCTCGCGGTCCCACCTCGGTTTCCAGGGGCCTCCTGTCTACGCGTTTTAGGGCTCTCAGTACGCGGATCAGTGGGTAGGACGAAGCGAACGGATTCGTGGCCTCCGCGGTCGCCCGATCTCACGCTTGTGGAGACATCTGACGGGCGCAGTTTACTAGAACAGAGTCTGCAGGTCTGCCACGAATTTTTGAACATCCCAGGTGTCAATTATTATTATTATTATTTAGTGTTCGGTCAATTATTATTATTATTAAGTATTTAGTGTTCTGTCTGACGACAGGTCCATATGAACAGGATCCTTCCATCCTTTTCTCGGACTGGGACCTGTTCATATACGTTCTTGGCAGATGATCCAGAAGGGGTTTGCCATTGCCTTCTTCTGTGTGTGAATGGAGTAATTGTTGGGATGCCACAGAGAAACCGGGGAAGCCCCCGGAGGAAAACTCCGTGTTGCCTAGACCACCTCATCTTATTATTATTTAGTGTTCTGTCTGA